GGTATGGACAGCATCCCCAGACAGAAAGATTCGATCTTGCACCGAGAAATCCCTGCATAATCTCTGGCCAACCTTCATCAGAGTCAGTCGTAGTTCGCATGTTTCTCCTCTAGTTGATCAGAACATACCGTATATATTGTACACCACGCGACGTGAGAGGTGACGAGGTAATATGGCTTCAACGCATCGCTCAGACTCGACAAGAGGACCGAAGGTTGGTAGTCTCTCCGAAATTGAGTCGCACATCTGGCAGGAAGTTGAACGTAGAAGCGTACGAGGTTGTCTTCTCTAGGAATGATCATAACATTGCCGGCTGGAGATTTGATAATGCACCGTTTGCGAATGTCAGCTACGAAACATTAACGGTCTGTCAGCGTTGGCAAGCGATAAAGGTGCGAGAGGAGGAACTGACGAAAGTCGGTGGTAGGTATACAGTCAAGCACGCCCCAGTCGCCGTTGCTGGCAGTCTTCCCCTTCAGGCTCAACCCCAATTGTTTGCGAACCCAGCTGTGGGCGCCATCACAGCCGATTAGGTATCTGGTGCGCACGAATGACTGGTGTTTAGCCCTGTCAGCCCTGTCCCAGCTTGCGAGGCATCCCAAGACCTCACATCTGTGCCCAGCCGGAGTTCAACAGCGTATTCCCTGTGAAGATCCACCAAGTCTTGGTGAATGAGGAGTTCCTGGGGTGACGTTCCCCATTTGATTTGCACATTTGGGGATTTATTGACGAATTCGAGTAGACGTTCTTCAATCCGCCCTTGGCCAAGAGTGACTTCCTGGAATCTAGACAGCCCCGGGTTGCAGTTGGGCGAGACGCTGTCGCGACATAGGACCCCTTGAGAGTCCCGGTGCTAGAAGCATGCCTGGGGGTTATGACTTCTCTCGACTCACGGCGGGACAAGGTATACGAACCCACAAACACACTTCCATGGTCCGGTTGGATTCCTTCCAGATGACATCAGCAAGACCAAAACTGTCCAGAATTTCCAAAGTTCTACTTTCGAGCCCGTCGGCATGCCCGGTCAACGTTCGACACGACTTCTTCTCGATAACGAGGGTCTTGATGTTCAATTGAGCCAGCCAAACAGCCGCCATCAATCTGTGGCCTTGTTAGCCACCCAAGATCACCCCCGTTAGTCCTCTCACTTACCCTGCGGGTCCCGCCCCAATAATAACCACATCAAAGTCCACGGAGGGCGCGGGTTGTTCTTGGCAGATCATGTTTAGGATAACAAGGTTTCTGTGGCGTGGTTAGTCAATGCGACATTTGTTGAAACAGAAACAGTGCTACGGGGGGCGTGGAAGTGGATAAATATGCTAATCTCGACCAATCCCCCACAACATGGAGATGCCCCGGCAGGATGAAGCGAGTGGCTTGTTTTGCAATGATGCAGTATGCAAGTCCCTGCACATGCTTCCTGAACAGGTGTCATCGAATTCTATCGCCATCAACACGTATGCAGTGGCAAGCATGAGCAGGCAAAACTAGCTCATTCTGGTGCCTGTGGCTAGTCAACACTTTGGCCGCTTCAGCAACCGCGTGCTGGCAAGCTAATGGGATTGCTTCTTCATCGATAACCTAGAGACATGATCTTCTCACCGTCATTAGGGCATTGCGCCTATGATGTAGTTTTTGAAAGGCCCGTCCAGCGCATTGTTTTCCATTGCTTGCTGCCCCGTTCACACAGTGACGTTGATGACACAATGTGAGCAGATCCATGATTTGAGTGACGTCCTACCGCATGCTTATTGATCTGGAACTAATGGACTCATGTAATTGTCCTCCGAGAGACGAAAGACTTTTAAGTGCTCAGGGAGTCAGGTTCGTCCTACGAGAAACACACTTAACTCATTCCTAAGCGCATCATCAAGCCTCATCTTTCATTGGACTTAACCCAGTCGACAATCCTCGAGGGAGTAGAAAGATCATTTACATCCGAAGTAGCAATGTCCAGTCACCTCAATTTGCTGAAGCAGACATGGGCTCTGCTTGACCGATTCAGCAAGGTTGGTGATCAGGTGGTGATCGGCGAGGATGAACTCACCCTAGCAGCCGTCGTGGCCGTGTCAAGGTGAGATCATGACCCCTGGAGATATCAGGCAATCAGCCTAGGGTAGAGTAGCAGGTTAGCAAGACTAAGCTGTAGTAGGGCTTCCACAAAGGTATCGGTGCAGAAGTCGCCTGAGCTGATGCAGCGGCTGGTGAGGTGTGTTGACACCATGAATGCGGAACTTGAAAGGGGAGGGCAGATATATGGTATATTTCATTACCCCTAACCGTGGCACTTCGATGTCGATGGGCTGATGATCTCTCCAGGAGTCAACACTGGGTGTGGGGGCAATGCAAACACGCGTACATCCAAGCTGCAAATCATCCAGCACTCGTTTTTTCAACATCACCAGGCAGGCATTCTTCCGCAGCTTGTCTATCCTCGGGGCAATACTTTGCGCGATATGAACCAGGAAAGCCACAGCCTGTCGCCCGAAATTACTCGCGGCACCATTCTCCTCCGCTGCAACTCGCTCCTCCGTGGTCACTCAGCCGTAAGAATCGAGGTCATTGATCTCCTTCTTCGGGTCCTGAGCGAGGGGTATGTGCCGCTAATTCCCCTAAGGGGTAGCATTTCCGCCTCGGGCGACCTGTCCCCTCTTTCATACGTTGGGGGCTTGGTGGAGGGGAATGCCGATGTCTTTGTGCGGTTCGAGGAGGAAGACGGCAAGCAGACCATTATCCCCGCGGCAGATACTCTGCAGCGACTGGGTCTCGATCCCCTCAAATTGAATGCTAAAGAGGGCCTGGGCATCATGAATGGCACAGCTGTCAGTACCGCTGCGGCTGGTCTAGCCCTTTATGATTGCCACCAGATGGCCCTCCTGGCGCAGGTCCTGACTGCCATGGCGACCGAGGCGCTCCTTGGATCCGTGGACAACTATCACGAATTCATCGCCCGATGTCGACCCCATTATGGGCAAACTGAAGTTGCCCGCAATATTAGAGGTTTCCTGCGGGGATCTGCCCTCTGCCATGAGACCGATCCCAAGAAAACAGGGCTGGTGCAGGATGGCTACTCATTACGAACTGCGCCCCAGTGGATCGGTCCTCACCTTGAAGACCTTATGTTAGCTGCACGCCAGATTGAGGTTGAATTGAATTCCACCACAGACAATCCGTTGATCGACGTCGAGGGGCAGCGCTTTCATCACGGCGGCAACTTCCAAGCCGCGTCCGTGACCAGTGCAATGGAAAAATGCCGCTCGGGCCTAGTTATGCTCGGAAAGATGATTCAAGGCCAATGTGAGGAATTGATCAATCCCTCACTCAGCAGGGGACTGCCTGCAAATCTAGCGTTGGACAATCCTAGCCTATCGTTTACAGTTAAGGGCCTCGATATCAACATGACGGCATATTACTCAGAGCTTGCATTCCTGAGCAATTCGATCAGCAACCACGTGCATTCTGCCGAAATGAATAACCAATCCGTCAACTCACTGGCGCTGGTCGCGGCCCGATATACTGGTGAATGTGTGCAAGTCTTGTCTATGATGTATGCTGCCCACTTGTATATTTTGTGTCAAGCTTTGGATATCAGAGCCCTCAGCATGGAGTTCTTTGCCAAGGCCAAGGCGAAATCAAGAACGCTTTACCAGGAAATCTTCGGGGGTGGTCTAGAGTTGGCCTTGATTGATTTCGAATTGGTGTGGACACAGGTCATCTCCACCTGGGATCAGACAGGCCATCTTGATCTTGCAGATCGGTGTAACCACGTTGCCATGCAGTCATTTGCTCATCTCCTGGACGTGGAGATGCGAGAAATCAACGCTTCTTCGTCCACCTTGTGTGGCCAGATCAAACTGTGGAAGGACAGGTTGGTGGAGCTTATGGCCACCTGCTACGACGAGACCCGGCAGGAGTTCATCAAGTCTCCCTCAACTTGCACCTACTTGGGTGAGGCGAGCAAAGCAATGTACCAGCTTGTCCGGTGTGACCTTGAGATCCCCTTGCATCAAGGTATCAGCGATCATCCACCACTTGCGGCAGCAGCAGGAGAATGCGAAGGCAAGAGAACCATTGGCTCGTATGTATCACGAATATATGTAGCACTGAGAGAAGCGAGATACGTCGAGCGACTTCAGACCCTGGTTGCTGCGGAATGCAAGGCCGAATAAGTAATGAGAGAGGTAACAGTGAAAGAAATCTGGGCTGGTGGTAAGTATGGGATTGACTATCTGTTACTGTCCATGGGAATATGCATCCTGTCCGTACAAAGAATCCTAGAGCAGGGTTGGGAATCGGTAAGTAGGCTTTTCTCGCTTACTTGCCTGTTAGATTCCGTTTCTACTCGTAGCTCATTGTGCTGAGTTTCTGAAGTACTATGTTTCGTTGTTCTTCTGTCTGTCTTCTTCTCTCTCTCCATTCCCTAAATAATCCGCCGTGAAGGGATCGGACTTGCCGACAGCCCAGCCCAGACCGATAGTTGTGTGTGGTACAGCATAGTACAGTAGATCGAAAGTAACCGATCGAGAAGTTAATTCCATTCCTTGCTTAAAATCAACTGTATTACACAAGACGCAAGAACATGTGATATTATAACGGTATCATTGTGCACCAGGAATTAATGCAAGAAGCAGGGCAGAGATATAATGTAGACCAGTTACGGAAATACCAAACAATCCCACGGAAAAGTTAATGCGTGAGAATGCATTGGTAAGAAGCTAGAATTCCGGTCGATGGAATCGACCGAGCAAGATAGGGTTCAGGTATTAGTGAGAGATCCAATAAGCACAGAAAAAATACCCGCCTTTTATATTATACTTATTTAACCGTGCTTTGATTTCCATCGAAGGATTATAATACATTCCTGCTCCAGCCCGTAATATAGTCTTTGACGATGTAGACTGATATTTATCGCAGCTCTTGTGTGAATGTCTTTTGTTTACTAGTACTTTCAGGCTAGTTCCATCCGAATTGCCTCGAGAAGCTCAACACTAATTACCGGAATGATTCAGTTCTATTTGCCAGAAGAAACTGTTTATATTAGTTAATTTCAGCTGCCAAGATTGAATCTCTACTTGACCGAAGATCCTGACTTTTGAACCAGCACAATAACAGTTGAGAGAAGAAATTATTAGAGTTTATTCTATTTCACCCCGATTATATCTTAATAAAAGGTTGCCCGGACAGGATCCTAGCCGCTATCGATGAATATAGGAGGGAGAAAGCTTTTCTTATAAATATTGGGACTAAGAAAGGTTAAATTGTTAGTAAAGCCATATGCCGCGCTAAACCAAAGGTAATCGTTGAACTCGGGGGTTATATTGGCTATTCTGCTCTTCTGTTTGGAGATGTACTTAGAAAGGTAGGAGGTCAAAAGTATATCAGCCTTGAAGTTAGTTCTATCTTTGCCAGTGTCTCCGCTGCTCTAATCGACCTGGCTGGCTTGGATGATAATATTAAGATTATAGTAGGACCTTATCGGGACTCACTACGAGCCCTAAGTAAGACATACCCCGGCTGTAGCCTGGACATGTTCTTCTTTGACTATGCCAAGATTAAGTATACTAACGACCTCAAACTTTGCGAAGAGCTCGGCTTGGTGTCGCAAGATACTACCATTATTGCCGATAATGTCAGCCGGAACTCTGAGTATCTAGAATACGTCCGTGCACCGGGCTTAAAGAAGAGGATGGCAGCAGATGAAACCAAACGACTGACATTGTGTTATGAGTCTGACATATTCCTTGGTCGGTTTGATCTGCGATATAAGACGTCCGTGGTTTACAGTATTAAACCCACTGGAGAGCCCGTTAGTATTTATACATCTAGCAGTCCCGTCAGCGCTAACAGATTCACAGAATGCAGTGGATATTTTATATTGCTTGGGAAGTAGCTAGTGGAACGCAAGCTCTTACTGGTTAAATTTTGTGCGCCGACAAGTAGTAAATTAAATAAGTCGAGTATAATTAGGATCAAATTGAAGCAAGATATCTCATTCTGAGAACAAAGTACAGACATTATTCGGTGCTCTGCACATTTCTAGCCAACTTTGATCATCGTCAAGCACCGTATCCTTGTATAGCAAACCGTACCGCTTGCAAAGAGACCATCGCTTCTAGGCCTGTAAGTAGTTGATACCAATCTCCCGACGACAGATCTAGATAACCCATGGCCACCAAGCTGTTAGCCGCGTATTCCTCCTCGACAAGTCCCAAGATAAGATATTGACAAGGTAAGATAACAGTCATAAAGAAGACTGACACTAAAGAAAGGCCATGCTACTGCCCTTTACGCATCGATCGACATCAAATAACCCTGCGGCGTGAAGAAATCGCGGGACTGGCAGGACTCGGCTCATGCAGGGTTCATGTAGCCGGTCTGGTACAGCGAAGGACAATCATATCAGGCATGATAATTGCTGTGTAATGACCAGAAGTAGTGACTTGCAAGCTCGTCACCAGCAGCATCTTCGAGGACGAGGCATATAGCCCATGCAGAAATCCGCATTGGGCTGCGACATTATGCAAGCATGACTCTTTTAGGCACTCAGATCCAGAAGTCGGGGCACGAGGCAACAGACTTCTGATGAGCGAAAAGGTCTGTCGGAGGACATTCGGAATAGTCGGCATCAGAGTTAGCATTTTTCATGATGTCATTCTGGCTGCTTGGGTAAACACTGTAAGCAAAAATGCGGCCTATATTAATTCGCTGCATTTCACCATGATCATTCATCGTGAGGCAGCTTCGTTTGTGCTTTTGTCCGGAATGAGGCCTATCTTCAAGACAATCGCGCTCTTCGGGGCGAACGGTCAAGTTGGAAAGGCTGTTTTCGAGGCTCTCATGCGTTGCAAAGATCCTGCCTTCCACATTATTGCATTTGTCTCCCCCAACTCCTCCTTCCAGCTTGAAAGCCTGGAAGATGCTAGAGTGACAATCAAGCGCGTCGATCTGAACAACGTGACTTGTGATGAACTGGCCACTATGCTTGCTGATGGCAGGGCTGATGTTGTCATCAGCGCTCTTGGTGGCCAAATCATCACCAAGCAAGGCCTCGTCCAAGATGCGGCTGCACAGGCAGGGGTCAAGCGATTTTATCCCAGTGAATTTGGAATGCATCAAGCACTCCGCCTACCAGGCGAACCAGCCTATATCCATCCTGTAAGTGACTCACCCACTTTTTGATTCTTTCCTCCTCCCAGCTCTGAATTGAGCTAATAGCTCCAAGATCTGGGATGTGAAGCTACGATGCTTCGAGGAGGCCATTCGACACCCCGCCATCAAAAGCGGCTCAATGTCATATACGGTAATAGGATGCGCCGACTCCTATGATGCTGCGAAAGAGCCGCTCTTCTGCCCTTGGCTGGAAACAGAAACAAGCCTCACCCAGGATGGTTACACGATACACTGCGTTGGGGATCCAGAAGCTAAGATGGACTATTCGACTCTCCACGATACCGCCAACTTCCTCGTGGCTACTCTTAGTCACCCAGAGCTATCGGAGAACAAATGCTTAAGGTTCAGGAGTGATCATATCAGCTTTCGAGAGGTCGCAGATCTTTTGCGCAAATACTCAGGCAAGCCCGTCAGGCTTAAAGTCACCCCAGTCGACCAAGTGAAGGAAATCCTCAAGAATCCCTCATCTGCGCCAGTCGAGTGGCACCGAAGAAGCACATTCCCGATTGACTTCTTTCTCACTCTAAGGTGTGCTCAAGGCCAAGGTGTGTTTTGGAGACCCCCTGGATTCTTGCACAACAGTCTTTTCCCCGAAGTTCAACCCGTCACCGTAGCTGAGTACTTCGAGAGGTTGTTCGAAAAATGAGATTGCCTGCGATGGGGCTGATGTGATTCAGCCTAGAGGGTAGGGGGAAATAAATGTGGATACACGTTCAGATCAACCCCTTCAGATATTTACTCACTACCGGAAAACATTAAGACCTTGTTGCAGCAAGGGGGCAGCGGATTCCAGCTATAGAGTCTACATGCTATGAGTGACCAGTGCAGGACACATAGATTCTCCTCAGTACATCCTCACGAAGTGGGACCAATCAAACTCAGGGCCGTGATATCATCCTGCCAGGTGTCCAGTAGGCGTAGACAAAAGAGGAAACACGCAGCTAGAGTCTGTAATTTGACGTCAGTGAGGCGTTGCACATTTTGCCTTTACTCTAGAAGCCCAGTACTGGGAAATCATGTATAAATCAGTGCGTTGTGATGCCCCATCTATGCTTGCTATGCCTGAAGGATAGACGATCAAACCCACCGAGTCTTCCAGCATTTGTCTTCTACCATGAATGAAGAAAAAACAACAGATATTCCCACGGAGAAAGAATGCCTGCAAACCGGGCACCGACTCCTCGTAAATTTCCTTGCGGGCATGGCCCATGAGGAGCCGGATAAGCCGGTCATGCGGCAACTGTTGCCATCTGCGACCAATGCCCCGAGTGACCGGAACGAGATCATTCTGGGCTACGAGGATCTTATGCGATTGGTTGATAGAGTGGCCTGGATGTTGAGTCGTAGCCTCTCACCGGAAGATGCCACTTCACAGACTGTCGGGTAAAGACCTACTAGCTCCCCGCCTCTTCTTGCTTTGGAGAGGATATACTGAGTGCTTGAGAATCTAGTTATTTGGGCCCAAGTGACCCAAGGCAGCTGCTCATCGCGTTGGCAGCGACTAAGTTGGACGCCAAGGTAAGTGCTGGAACTGGTAGTGGCCTGGGAGAAACATTATCTCACCACTACTTCTTCATTCGGTATTCCAGGCTCTGCTGCTCTCGCCCCGAAACAGTGTCTCCATGCATAAAGTGCTTCTCGAAGAGTCTCATTCAGCACTTCTTCTTTGTGATAAGGCTTTTGCCACCGCAGCGACCGAGATAAGAAAGCAGCAAGACATTGATCTTCTTTTCATCCCGGATTTCGTGGATCTTGTGCATGATTCGAGCCCAGTCGAGTCCTTCCCATATGTGGAAACCTGGGCCACCTCCCGTGGCAAGCCTTTAGTAGTATGTCACCTCAGAACAGAGCTTGCAAAACGGGATCAATTCATCTAACGTCTAGCAGACCCTGCATACTACAGGTTCTACTGGTAATCCCTCGTCGGTCACTATGACTCATTCCGCGTTGTCATCACTCGACGCGCAGCAGGATTTGTCAAAGAAAGATGCTGCCGGGGACAAGTGCCAGCTTGAGATTCTCGCTGAAGCAGCGACAGTGTATATGGCATTCCCTCTGTTTCATGTCGCGGGGTTCGGCCTCAGTTGTTACTTGATCCTCTCGGGCTGTACGCTCTTATTCGGATATCCTCGACAACCACCTAGTGTTGCAGCCTTGAAGACAGTCCTCAAGGCTCCCAGCGTGGATGGTGCCCTGTTGCCGACATCTATTATTGATGAGCTCTCTAGGAATGCCGACCTAATGAAAGTGGTGCCGAAGCTGCGGTATATATTTGGCGGAGGTGGTAAGATAGCACCACCAGATCCCAGCGGCTCTGACTAACACGATGGAACAGGCACAATATCCAAAAGAGCAGGCGACATCGTTGTACAGAGCACGCGTTTACTCAACGGTCTGGGTAGTACTGAGTGTGGGTCATTCATCCAATATCCGACCGATCCAACCCATTGGGCATACTATCATTTTCATCCGTGGAACGGTGTGAAATGGCGACCAGCCTCGGACCAGGAGTCGCAAGGGGAGGATTTCGAGTTGGTACTCCAGCGTGACGACTCCTGCTTGCAATATCAGGCAGTGTTCCAGAACTTTCCTCATCTGCGAGAGTGGAGGACCAAGGATGTGTTCCGGAGACACTCTCACATCCCGGACTACTGGGAATACCGGTACCGACTGGATGACCTGATCGTCTTCTCGACCGGAGAAAAAATGAACCCATTGCCGGTGGAGGCTGAATTGAGAGACATTGCGGGTATTAAAGAAGCCCTGGTCGTGGGGAACACGCGATCTTGTCCTGCAATTCTTCTCGAAATGGACGCCAGCGAGCGCGATGGAGCCGAGAGCGACTCCATCGACAGAGAACGAACGACCATAGAACATGCGCTGGAGTCCCAGAATGTGAAAGGATCCCGAGATAGCCAACTACATGACAAAATGGTGATAGTAGCGAGTCCCAGCAAACCCTTTGTTCGCACGGGGAAAGGCTCCGTGCATCGGAACAAAACGCTCGAGCTCTATAAGACCGAGATTGAGAGTCTTTATGGGCGAACCAAGTCCCCGGAGCCTGAGCCTTCAGGCCTCGAAGAAACTAGGCTTTGCTTATCTTCTGAGCATGCTCTTGCAGTGAGCCTGGTTGATATAATTGGGAAGCTAGAATCATGGCTAGCAGATCTCGACGTGACAACAAACATATTTGCGGCTGGGCTGGATTCCAAACACGCGCAAATTCTGGCATCGTTCGTCTCCAAGGCACTGGCCGATCAGAGACGCGGACGAAACTTTCCTGTCGAGGCAGTCTACGACAACCCTTCGCCAAAACAAATGGCAGGCTACATCATGCGGCAGATTCTCCCATCTGAGGGACGGGCAGATGACTCGAAGGATTTTGATTCCCTATTAGACAGGTATGAAGTGTTCAGCTGCATCCACAACCTTCTTGCTTATGGCTTTCCTAGGCACTCTCAGACCCTTACCAGAAGCCCCAAGAAGGATTATCTCGGTCCACGAGTCTCCGGCAAAAGACATGTTCTTATTACCGGAAGTACAGGGTTTGTGGGGTCGTATGTACTCAATGCAATCAAGCATCAGGAAGATGTTGGCCATGTGACGTGTCTGGATCGAAGGCAGACCCGGGACCATGCGATTGAGGGAGTCTACTCCAATGTTCATATTGAGTATATAAAGACCGACCTGGCCGAGCGCCGCCTGGGTCTTTCAAGAGAGATCTATCAGCGGCTGTTGGGAAGTGTGACTGATATCTTACATTGCCAATGGGCAGTGGACTTCAATCGCCCTTTGGCGTACTTTGAGCGCAATATCGCAGGAGTCAAAAATTTGATCACTTTTGCTCACGAGGCAAGAGATAAGGTACATTTCATTTTCCTCTCTTCCGTCGCAACGGTAAAGCGATGGAACTCCAAGACAGCAGTCCCAGAGACCTGCTTGCCCTCCCCCAAGATCGCTGAAACTGGGTACGGCCTGAGCAAAGTCATTGCAGTTAGGTTGCTGGACCAGGCTGTCCAAGCCGCGAGCATGCGAGTGTCAATCTGTCGCCTGGGTCAGGTTGCCGGCCCAATTCAGGATGAGAGAGATGGCAAAGCTCATGCGTGGCCACTTCGCGATTGGTTCCCAACACTGCTGTCTAGCTCCGTTGCATTGGGCTGTCTGCCAGACTCTCTAGGCTCTGCCGATCAGATCGACTGGCTACCGGTTGACAGTGTAGCAGATCTGCTATGCGATCTCATCAGCCTGTCCAGCAAACAGCACCAGCAGAAGAATCAACGAGGATCCGAGTATTTTCATCTTGTCAACCCCCATCGCGTTCAGTATGCCAGCCTAGTCTCTTGTTTAGCAGCGCGACTGAGACTGCTCAACCCAGAACTGAAAGTCGTGCCATTGAGCGAGTGGGTTGCGGCCCTAGAAGAGAAAGGAAATAAAGCTGAGTGTATAGCCGGCGTTCAGCTACTTGGCTTCTTCCAGGGGCTTGCAGATGCCTCATATCAAGGCTCTGTCCTACTGGAAACGACACTCACTAAGAAGAGGCTACCACGGCTCGAGGAATGTTCACCGATCAGTCCGAGATACATAGACATGTGGCTGAGGCAGTGGGAGATGGTGCCCCCTTCCAGGAAAGACTAAGCGATAAACAAATCCAATCTCTCGTTTTCCGGTCGGAACTAACCCTGCTTCGTTAAGGGCGCGAGACCTGTCACCAATAGGTTAACCATATCTACAGGGTCCAGTTGCCCCTTGACACTCAGAAAGAATGGTTGACCGTTGATAATTGCCAAACCGAAGTTATTGTTGTTGTTTACAGGAGACGTCATTGTCAAAGCATTCATTTAACACGATACAAAATGTAACTTGTCAGCTGTGATTCAGCAGCCCGGGGTTGTACGACCGATAGTGGAAAGGGTAAGAACATGGAGTTTCATTAAGCTGCAGTCTATCTACATGGTGACCTGGCGAACCGTGTTTCATATCCAATTGCGCCCATATTAAACGTCATGTGCAAAGCAAGCATACCAAAGAATAACCACTGTTCCGTAGACCGCATAGCATGTTCGTGATGTAGTCTGACGAACCGCTTGCACCTGGTGAATGGTGTCGAGCACGGCCCTGCATCCTCCCTGCCACTCTGTCTGGAACCTGCCTCCATTTCGTAGTGTTCGAGAACTACCGAAGAGTACTGTCCATGTGTAAGGTTGCCACGAAGTGGATTTGGTACCCGGGCCGGGCGATGGGTTGGTCGAGTGTCTGAATACTGCTAGCTCCGCTTGGCCTATGCCGAGCGTGCAACTCAGCTTTGAGACTTTCTCTGCCCCGCCGAACTCAGCATCTGTGATGTAGCAAGTGTCTGGAGACCATGCACATTAGGGTCGGAGACACATTCAAGTCGATAACGCGGGTATTGGAACTCAGGACTGGCATCGTGTCCATAACGGCAAGGCCTGTTTTTGCAGTCCTCATGATCGAAGGCCGAATAGCTTTGTCTTTTTCGAGTGATCGGCCGCGTTTGTGGCGGTCAATGTCATTGAGTCGGTTCTCTGAAGCAAGAATAAGAATTAAGATACGGACCCTGTGTAGGAAATCCCTGTACTTACCACGCTGGTGGGAGAGCCGAATTTGGGTTCTTTCGTAATCGAGATGATCCTCGAGAAATGACGTCCTGAAGGCCCGGAGTATGGACAGGGGCCTTTGAGGTAGTATCTGGTAGTTGCTCCTGCTTCAAGGTACATTGACATTGTGATTGAGGGGTTGTGTTCGTGGTGCGTGGGGCGTGGGCGTGGGGGAAGGGTTGCGGAGTGAGTCGTGCTGGCAAGGGTTTATACTCGGTAGCAGGTCGGAACGCCCATCCGAAGGAGAGCCGGGTGGGCCCTCCGGTGCCTCCACTCACTCACTGCATCGGGTGCATGTACCCGGTACACTTCCCAATACAGTAGGTGAATGCGAGATCCATGATCCATGATATGAACGCTCCGATTAGAGGGGAAATTCGACCCCGATGCCGCAGTGTCGAGTAAGGCGCTGAAAAACCGCATGACCCTCGCATGATAGTTACAGTACTATTGCTGAACTTCCGCTGCTTCTCTATCCTACAGATGCAAATCCGCATTGACCGGGGCGGCATGAATAGATTAGTAATCAGTGCTCATATCACATGACAATAGGGCATAAGTTTATGCCGCTATCAAAATACATACCACAGGCAACTCGCCACTGTGTGCAGTTGAGGTTATCATAAAAAGAGGACGACAAGGCGAGTGACCGACAAAAATGCGATGTGTGCTGGTGATTAGGCAAGAAGATAGAGTAACCGCCGAGGATCTTGTCTGAGACTGGACCGTCACATGGGGTTTGTCTGCATTTGAGATAGCCTGTGACACAAAAAGGCACGATACGATCGAGTGATTACCGATATCACATTCAAAAGCCCCAGGAGCATGGAGCAAGATAGGCAGCAATATTGAGATTGAAGAACCAACCCCAGAAAGGTTCTTTGCCCTATGTGGCCTGCTGGTTTATGGGGTGAAATCATCCGTGATATTCACTGGGTTGGCGAGGTTTGTAGAACGAATGTTAGTTGACTTGCATTCTCTCCGTAGCTACATTCGCTACCCGCACAGCAGTGATGCCATTCTAAGGATAGAATCAGTGGTACTCGATATACAGGTGTCCACAATGCGGGGTCATGCCATTGCCGAGGCTACGCATCCGATGGCTTCCGGCCGAGCCACGCATCGATTTGATCCCATTCGTTGTTGATCATGGATTGGAGAAATTCTATCGTGACTGCGAGAGTAGGTGAGCAGTTATCTATGTATCCGTTGCGAATAAACTGTCCGTGTGGATGTACTATCCATACATTGACTAGTTCTACCATCCGAAGCATTACTGTAGATCTCTCGGACTTCCCGACGGATTCCCCACTCGGTGCCCACTCAGATGGCTCTCACCCGTTGGACTACATCGGGACAATTTTACCCATCGCCGCTGGCACATCTGTGCAGCAGACACATCCCATTAAAACCAGCGAATGCATGCTCCCCACTCAAAGACAAGCTCGCTCAAGGCGGAGACCAGGAATGATTCCAGAATGGGAGAGTACACGCAACGATAAGCAAATATACCAGCCACGTAGAGACTAACAGCGTCGAGAGATAAAGATAATGCATTTATCTGGGTATTTTATGACGAATTCGAGTTGTCGGCACAGGAGAAAGCTGCCGAGCCCCCGTCCTCACGGTAGGAGCTCATGATCATCTTCACCGAACCATACGTTCCTGCCACAATGAGGAAGGCCCCAAGAATGATCAGGACCAGGGTCCAGATCACTCCAAGCATCCAGCGAACGGTCCTTTGGTGTCCCTCGGTGCCTCTGCCCCAGTTATCGTGGAGCCACATTGCCGCCATAGGGATGATGCAGATCAGCGGACCTAGCAAAGCGCCGATCAGCGAAACCAGGGCATCGAAGTTCGGAATTGTGCTCGCAATAATCCACGCCACGAGAGTAATCCCAAAGGTACAGCTCAACCAACTAATCCAATGGGTGGGAGTGCTGGTAGTAAGATGCCGAGACCCGCGTAGGGCATGCACAAAGATGGATTTCGCAGGAATCTAAATATGGCCAGTGCTAGTTAGCACATATGATCTTCGTTGAGACCCCGAGCACGGCCTAGACTGACATGTGTGACGATGGTCATGGTGACCATGAGTCCAGGCAAGGCGAAAGCATAACTGATGATCTTGATGATGCCGCCCGCCGATCCGAGAGCGGGCGAGGCAACATAACTGCCACAGTAATAGTAGATCACGCAGCCGATGATTGCATAGACAGCTGTCACCGCCGCCTGACAAGTCACCATGGCGGCTGTGTACTGTTGAGGATCTCGCATCTCGGATACAATGGAGAAAAAGCCTGGTGTACCAGAAAAGGCGAATAACAGGTTTGAAACGGCGGCGATACCATCAGAAAACGAGGGACTCCCGAATGCCTTCCAATTCGAGGACCAGGGGCCGGTAGTTGCTGCTGGTGCCCCCGCTGGGCGATCTTCAACGCCCACGGCAATGGTCACGATCAATACTGGGCCAGGGTCAGTCGATGTCTTGCAGTGGGTATCACAACTTCCAGGAAAGCTCTGAGTCATACCAGCGGTGAGAATGCACGGCAAGCCAATCCAGGCCAGCCAGGTGATTTTCCCGAGGGTCCGGATGCTGCTACAGGCAAATCCAACAATTGCTGCAACCGCGACAAAGACAGCCGTGCAGGTGGCATGCGAGGAGACGGCATTCAGCCCGACCGAGAGGCCCAGGATGGCCGAGCCACTATTGAAGACGTAGTCTGAAACATAATAAGTCAGGTAAAAACGATGGATATGGCAGATTCGGATCACTAGATCACCTAAAAAGGCAGAAGCTGGCTGCTAGAATAGCCCGTCCTGGCAAGCCCAGCATAATAGCACCGGCATCATCCAAACTATACACCTCGCGGTGCTGCAGCTTGAAGGTCCCAACAACATAACCGGACCAAGTGGTGATCATGGCGAACGCGAGCAAACAGATCAAGCCGGGAACCATTCCCAGGGTATCTAAGGCCGAGGGAATGGCCAGCACACCCAGGCCAATCTGGGTCTTCATCATGAGAATGACGGTGCCGACAAAGCCCACCTACACCACTAGTCAGCTACCGGACCTCACATTTGGTTTCTGGGATTCCACATTGCGATAGTTGGGCCCATTCTCAGTGAGTTCCCCGAAGACATCGTCATTGACAATAATGGGCTGCGAAGGGTCGATTTCTGGATTTGACTTCTTATCACAAACCGTGGACAGAGTCATCATGCGCGGTAATGAAATATATTCAAAGATCAAGTCAATTTGGGGCGCATCCGAACATTTATATGTCAAAGGATGCTAGTTGGACTCCGTCAGTAAATAAGTGGTCACGTAAACTCATCCTCGGACCAACTACCCACCGGTTAATGTCTATGCTTGTATGCCAAGAGCTGCAAAGTCCGGGGCATCGTATTGCTTGACCGAGTCGCTATCAAAAGCAGGAGCAACGGTCGGATACGAGCCGACATGTCCCGGCAGTCTCCCCGGGGAATCGGCGCTATCCGACACTGCCCATAATCTTACGGCGGACCCGAAAGCTACATACACCCCTGCGGTACTGATTTCAATTGCTATCATCCTGGGTCACAAACCCTCCGCCGCGCCCTGAAGTCTCCATCAGTTCCATGCGTACACTACCGAGCTCCCTGTGCATTGATTCGGAACTTGCATTCTCCTGAAAAGATTCGAAGTCAAGAAGCTTGACGCCTTGGTCTGTGACAAGGAAGTTGTACCGGTTCACGTCCCCGTGCAAGAGGCCCAACTCGTGGAATCTCCCAAGAGCTGCTTCACAGGCCTCCAGATCCTGGGTGGAGACATGGTGTCCTTCAATCTATATACAAAATCCCTATGTTTGGGTCTTAAAGAAAGTTTACTAGAAAAAAATATAAAAATTATTAAGAAAAACTAGAAAAATAAAGAAATAAAAAGAGTCTAAGCTTAACTTCTAATATTTAATAATTATAAAATTAAAAGATTTTTGAAAAAATTTTATTCTAAATCAGGCGAAATCTTATAGATGTAAGATTTTATTTAATTAGAAAAAATTTTTTTAATATTTTTTTATATAAGTTTTTCTTAAGAATTAGAAAAAGCTATTTAATAAATAGCTATTTAAATAATTTTCTTATAAAATTAAAAAATTTTATTTTAGAAATAAGAAGATATAATAATATAAAATTTTTAATTATTATTATTATTAGTTAGAGATTATCTACTATCAGTCAATAATTTTTTTATTATTTAATTTTTATAAATTTTTATTATTTTTTTTAAGATTTTTGTATATAAGTTTTTCTCGAAAATCTGGGAAAATTATTTAATTAATAACTATTTAAAAAATTTTATTTTAGAAATAAAAAGATATAATAATATAAAGTTTTTAATTATTATTACTACTAACTAAAAATTATTTATTATTAGTAGAAAATATATTTATTATTTAATTTTTTTATATTAAATTAAAGATATTTATTTTAAAAATATAATAGTATAAATATATAAGATTTTCGGTTACTAGTATTAATAATTAAAAATTATTTATTATTAATAAATAATCTTTTTATTATTTAATTTTTTTAATTATATATTTTTATTACTCTTTTTAATATCTTTTTTATATAAGTTTTTTTTAAAACTTAAAGAAGGTTATCTAATAAATTACTATTTATATAATTTATTTTATATAAAATCTAAAAAATTTATTTTAAAATTAGAAAAATATAAATATATTAAGTTTTAGATTATTTTTATTATTAGTAAAAAATTATTTATTATAAGTAGATAATCCTTTTATATTAAGTTTTAGATTATTTTTATTAACTATTATTTTTAATATTATTTATATTAGTAAATAATTTTTTTACTATTTAATCTACTATAATTTTTTACTTTAAAAAATTTTTTATTATACTAAAATATTTTATTCTATATTTCTATCTTATTAAAGTTCTTATTCTTTAAATTTAATTTATTTTATAAGTTCTAATATTTTTTATATTTAAATTCTTAAAAAATAAATCTTTAGATTAATAAAAATAAACTTTTATTTAAATAAAAAATTTAAAATTATATAATTAGTTTATACTAAAATAAGAATCTTCATATATATATATATTTATTAATTTTAATAAACCTAGCTACTTCTTTTAATATATCTATTATTTTTTAATAAATAATGTATATTAATTTTTATTATTATAAATATATTTATATTAATTAATTAAAATTATTTATCATTTTTTTTTATTCTAATTTAATAAAATAATTATATTTTTCTATTATATTAGTATATATATATTAATATATCTATCTTTATATTATATTATTAATTTAAAAACTTAGATTATTTAATTTATATTAAATATTTAAAAAAGACTTGATTTTCTTATATTTTTTCATTAAATATTAAAAATAAATCGTGTTATTATTTTAATTTTTTTTATTATTCTAATATTTTTTTTCTTCTATTATTTATTCTATTAATTATTTTTTTTAATATTAAAAAGCTATAAAGAGTTATATATAATTATTTATTATAAATAATATTAAAAAAGCTAAAAATTTATTAAAAGTTTTTCTTAAGATTAGTTATTACTAATTAAAATATTATAAAAATCTTTAATTTTTATTAGAATAATAAAAATTTTCTAATCCACAAGGGTTGGTCTGTGTTATAGGATCAAGGCC